AAAAAAAAAAAAAAAAAAAAAAGAAAAATTCACAAAGATTCTGAATCTGAAAAGATTCAGAATTTTTCTTCGTTCGAGAAACTTTCAGTTTCTTACGTTTCACTACGTATCATACGATATTCTTCGTCTTTCTATTTCTCCTCGACCTCGTTGCGAAAAGATGACTTTTGCATAAACTCTCGAACACCAGCTCGGCTACCATATGAATTTTACAACTCTGAATTCCCTTATTTCACACCCCCTCCTCCACCCTTTAAATAACGCCTGAACCGGCGCACGGGTCGCCCACGCTCGCGTCTTAGATCCGGCATTTACTACATCCACGAGATATTACGCTTCTATTATTGCCCTCGAACCGGGTATTGTTGCGGGGCATGGCGGAAAAAGCGTTTCGCCACGATATAACGAGATCGCGTGCTCGATCTTGTATAACGTTAAGACTTCGAATTCCTTCGTTTCGTTTTTCAAAAATAAAATTTTTCGTATCGATGAACATAGAAATTGAACAAAGATTCTAAAGTTTTTTTTTTTTTTAAAATATCGTAAATATCTAAATAACGAGAATTTGCGTATCGTGGACATGAATAAAAGATCGGACTGGATACATGGAAAATTTTTAAAGAATGTGGAAATTTATAAGGATCTAATCATCGATTTTTCGAACGAATGAATTTTTCGTTTCGATCTACTCAAATGTGTGTGTGTGTGTATATGTATATATATATTTATTTTTTGTTATACATGTGAACTATTGGATTAACTATATATATAGTATATATAGTAACTATATATAATAGTTTATCATATTCGAATTATGTATAACAAAAAATAAAATGAAAAAGAAAAGTTGCAATGGCGGAAAAATAAACAAGAAAAAAAAACAGTAGAGAAAGAAATTAAAAAAATTCTAAAGGAACATCGCAATGAAATATAATATAATAAAGTATAGTAGAAAAAAAAAGAGAGAAAGCAAAGTTGCAATGGCGGAAAAATAAACAAGAGAAAAGGAAAAAACGAGTGAACGCAGTAAAGCAAGAAAAATTAAAGTTCTAGAGGAAGATTGACAATAAAATATATAATATTCAATAAATAATATTTCAAACGTATAATAATATAATATAATATATATTGAAAATAAAAATTTTTACCAAGTTTAAAAAAAATATTGGAGATATATGAAACGAAATAATATTTGCATAACCCGAGTAAAAAACGCAGGAATAAAAAAAAAAGATTAAATTAGATATATGAAATCGTCACGAAAATGAAATTTTCATTCCAACCTCTTCAAATTTTACGATTTTAATTTTTGAATAAACGAGTTTTCCACTTGCGACCTACGCAAGTGTGTCGTCGTTGGGAAAGTTGGTCATGAATCACGGTTATTTTGTAACGCGTGGAAAACTGTGCGTTTATATGCGTAATATGAGATGAGATTCGAATTAATTTTCGAGATCGACGTATTCTTCGATAAAAATTTTTCGTCGACAAATTGCGTTTCTTCTTTAAAGAAGTTAGGTTAGGGGATTTAAGCGTGCGGTGGAAAGTTGGTAACCGTGAATCGTTAGGTATTTTGTAACGCGCGAACAATTACCTCGAAAGCGTCGTTTAGGGAATGCATTCTCATTCTTTCTCTCTCGTTGCTCTCGAGCCTCCTCAGGTTCCTTTCCCGCGCAGAGATCCCGCTTTTTCGCCTCCTCGTCGTCGGTGGACCACCACGATTCCTTCTTTTAGCCTGTTTAGGGCTTCTTTCGCTCCCGCTGCTGTCGCTCTCCTCGCCCACCTTTTCAATCGTTTTCAAAAATAATTCTCCAAATTAACACATTCTCGATCTCGATCTCCTCTCTCATTCCACGATTTCGTTTCGTTTCGTCATTCTTTTCATTCCTTTTTTTTTTTCTTTTTTTTTTTTCCCCCCCCCCTCCAATGTTGTACGTTAGGTAACCAAGGAAGTTTTTATCGTTATTTTTACGATTTAAGAAAAGTATCCGTTGTTTTACGAACGATTGTAAACGATTTTTGCGACTTAAAATTGGATACGTGGTGGATTAACAGTTAGAATTATGCATTTCTGCGCATACCATGCTAAGTGTAGAGTAAAAATAGTTTTTATATTTTTATAATTTGCGAGTAAAAAAATTTCCTTCTCGAATTTTTCTTTAAAAAAAAAAAAAAAAATTGCAAAACTTTCTTGGTTACTTAATAATTAAAAAAAAAGGAAAAAAAAAAGAATTTTACGATTAAAAGTAATTATTTTGATAGTATAAAAAAAATACACGAATGATTTATGAGATGTATATATCAATGGATCAATGGAAAAAAAAAAAAAAAAAATTCGAGTATAAAAAAGAGAAACTAACTTTATTCGAATTGCTCGATCGATTGCCTTTACCTTTAATAATAAACTCTGTTCGATTGGAGGTTCGATTTCGTTCTCATCGAAGATCGAAAATCGACCGATCTTTGTATTTCATTGATGTATTTTTCATTGTGAACGTTGGTATTCGCGAGATTATATAACGAATCGTATATTCTAATATTAGTTGGAAACTCGAGTTTCTTGTAAAAGATAAGATTAAAATTGACGCAAGTGTGTAATTGTATCTGTGTAATTTTGTTTATTGGATATCAGAAATTTTTGTTCGATATCTTTTATTTCGAAAAGATCGAATATGCATCTGCAACTTTTTGCATTAGTGACATTTCCAGGAAATGCAATAATCGTACATATATATTGTTCAGACGTATATAATTTTCTTATCATTGTTTGTAAAAAGTAGGTACTTACGTGAGCACTTACTTTTGTATATCGATTACGTTAATTGAATTGAAACTATAACAACAATATTATCTTTGATCAAAGAGAGATAACGTTAAGTTTGCATCATTTTGAATCATTCGTGGAAATAAAATTATTATTAAATCTAACCTTGGAAAAAAAAAAAATAATAAAAATAAGTTGGCAAAAAAAAAAAAAAATTTTTTTAAAAATATTAAAAAAAGAAAAATATTTTAAATATGAAATATTTATTAAATACGCACAGCGTAAGTGTTTAAATAATAAAAAGAATACACTTGTATTTTTAAAATCAGATTCCATTTGAATATATATTATTCTAAATATTTTGCTACTGCATATCTCTGTGCATATTTTCTACCAGTTTTGCTTAAAATAATCGCGCAAGTTGTTCAGAACATTTACGAATCTCAATGCCCGATAACCTTATCTTTGAATTTTCTTTTATACATAACTCCTACATGTATGCAGTGATTATAGTTCATTGCATACACTTTATATAAATGTTACTTTAATGTAATTAATAATTGATACTTTGATCGATGCTTTTTTCGATTAATAATCGATAATAATTGATATCTGAAAATCAACACTCGATATTGTTGACGAAAAGTCAGCACTTTGTTTTAATTAGTCTTTGTATAATAAAAATAAAATATAACCTTTGATTCTATCAACTCAAATTTCTGAATACACGATATCTTTGCACGAATTAAAAAATATTACATACACGTATCATAAATAAAATTTCTAAATTTATAATTTTGTAATTATCAAAAATGAAATATAACAAAATTTATTTTTAATATATTTATCGCACTTTGATTTTTTTTATTAATATAGAATATAATTACGAGTTCATTTTAAATAAGATACATATTTATCTTATTATCGATAGATAGATCGGTATGTATTGATAAAATTAATTCATCTAAAAAATCCAAGGAGAAATTTACAAACAATAATATAATTACAACGATATACTTCATTTTTATCTATCTAGATATCAAATTATATCTAGATATCAAATTCGTTATCAAATTATTCGAAAATTAATTGCAGATTTTAATAAAGTTATATAACTTCATTTAAAATTAAATTCAAAAAATTTCGAAATTCAAAAATTTCTATAATTTCATTAAAAAAAAGAAAAAGAAAGTATTAGGAAACTATTCTTAAATCAAATCGATATATCAATAGATTTATCTTATAAAATGTACAATTGATTAATTTTCTAAAAATATTTTATGTATTTTTTATGAGAAATGAATTAAAATGAAATCTTATATTGATATACAATGATAAAATTATAACATAATTGATAATTGAACTGCTTAGAAGATAAACTGATTAATAGTTTTAACAACAAAGTGTAAAATTATATCAACTTTTTAAAAAACATATAATTAATTATCATAATATTTAGCATTTTCTTACTTCTTGACAGCATGATAAGGAATTGCAGAAAACTTTCAAATGTAAAGATATAACAAATAAATAAAGATTTATTTTAATTTAATTAGAGCTCGATTTATTAATTACGCTACGAAACGTGTTCACCGACATGTTGCATTTAGTTGCACCAAAAATAGAAGAGATGTCCTTACCTCCGCGCCAACGACATGATGGCGACTTCGTTTTCCGGTAAGCGAGTCGACGGAAGCGTCGTCCAGGTCGATATACATCTCCTGATCACAGTCTTGATCGCTACCCGATAACCTCTCCAGGCTTCGCATTATCCCAAGGAAAGTAACGCGTTGGACCCCCTGGAATTGCACACGGATGCAATATTAATCTTCGTCGATCGGTTGAAAATATAATGTGTATGTTTATATATTGCTAATTTCTCGATGAATCATTTATTAGCGATATTCATCGATTCATCGTTATTTATGTGATTCAGACGTTCGATCCCTTTCGAGTTTACTTTTTTTACTTTCATAGAAAGTGTCAAAAGAAAAAAATCAATAATCTTGTCATGCATCTCATCGTTAATTATCGAATGGGTAAGTGATTCGACGATTGATCGATTAGAATATTTATCGAATTACGTTGTCTAACAGGTTCTTTTTGTCGCGTGAAGCATGTGTGTTTGATTTGTGAAAAAATAGTTGATAGTGTTGGAATTAGTATTGGAAGTCTTGAAATCGATAAGGATTCTATTAATATGAAAGATTTGTAAACAAGAGGAGTGTTGATTCATTTTTGACAGTTTCTTAAAAAAATGAAAATAACAAAGATAACCTTTTTCTAAAAGTTTTCCTGTTTCAAAACTTTACAGTTTCAGATTTCGATTCATTAATAAATCGATAAAATATTATTCTTATTCTTATTCATACATCATACACAAATAATATAATTTTTATCTTAAATTCGCTATTAATGAAAGAATAATTATTAAATTGAAATTTTTCCAAAATATTCTCGAGTGCAAAAAATCTTTAAGAAAATAAATAAATAGGGAATTACCGATGCATATATTGCAAGATTATTAATGGAAAGATAAATAAACTGTGGGATCTCCCAGCAATCGGTACAAATGTAAACATTTCAGGACAATTGAGAAACATTGGCACGAGAAACGTGCGCTAAACGAGATAATCGAAGTGGGATATCCCGTTTTCCCTGGCTATGCTTGATTCAATGCCAAGAATTCTTCGCACACAATTACGTTCTCTGTGCTTTACGATCTGCGATTAAGTAATTGTATATATCATTGTGGCGACGTACGTAAGTACATGAATAACTATAAGTCGTGCATTATCGAAGAAATGATATAAATATACAATCAATAAACTCTTTTGGTTTTTTAATATTCATTTACTTCTTATTTATTTATTTATTTTTTTTTTTTTCATTTACAAAGAAACAAAATAATAAAAATGATCAAACACGTGTTATTGAATTAAACAGATGAATGTTTTTTTCAAGTACCATAATATCACCTCAAAGAGAAAAAACAACGAAGGAAATATGGAGAGAAAGTCTGCTCCGACTGATGTTTCTTTCTGGATTGTCCAGTTCGATTTTCTCGTCGGGGAAACTTGTAATATTTCTGCGTTTTTATTACTTTAATGTATCAAACTCTTTTAAAGCATTCAACGTTTTAAAACATTCCAACATTCAGTGTTTCGACTAATAAACTTCATTGCAACTAATAATTTTCAAACGTTCTGCATGAAATAAACAAGACTAGTAATTATGAAATAATATATTGAGAAAATTTGCGATTCTCTCTCGATGTTAGCGAGTTACTTATGATCATGTGAAAATAATTATACATTCTGCAAAATAACCTATTGTTGTAATTGTTTCTAAAGTGTAGTCGCTCGTGCAACGTTTTGTTTTGTAGCACGATGCAATAAAAATTAGCAAAAGGCATCATTATTTCCGTAGAATTTATCTTGAAGAATCTCTATGGAGCATAAAATATTCAGACTGTGTATAGTCCCCATCATAAGTTATTGGAAACTTAATGTTTCAGGATAGAGAAAAATGAACATTATATGGTATTTAATATACCAACATGGTATGTGATAAAAAATTTTAAAATGTTAACTTAAAAAATATTTATGATTAATGTGAATAAGATGTTTAGATTAGGTTAAATTAGATTAGGAAAACTAGGTTAGAAAGACGACTTATTACTATATTTAGAAGCTATAATTAAATATATTTTTTAGTAATTACGATTGTTGGATGAAATAATAATCTATCGATACAGAGAACGCAAATTCTTATTAGGAAATAGAATATTGCGAATTTTTTTTTTCTCAGTAACGAAATATTTTTACTCGTATAAGAAGTGAAAAGAAAAAGAGTTATTTCATTCAAAACTGAGTTGTAAATGGATGAATTGTTATTTGCAAAGAATTTTATCGTTTCGTTTTGAAAAATATATTCGTAGAATATATTCGTGGAATATAATTCGTATATTTCAAATTTTATAACCTCTGACATTTCACTCTTCATTTTTTCATCATTTCGTGATTTGATTTTTTAAACATCTAAATATTCCTCTGTTTTATATAAAACAGTTTATACGAAAATTTCACAATGACATTTTACAATTTCTTTTACTTCTTTATTTAAAAATTTAAAAAGTTTTTATTATTTTAATCACATAGATTAACCTAAAACAAATTAATTTATCCTATAAATAGTTTGAATATGACATAAAAATTTATTCTTTTGTCTTCGAGTCAATAATTTTTTATTTTTTGAGATTTATATATTAAATTTTACATATTTTTGTTGTTTATATATATTCATTCTACATACAAAGCATAAAATTCAAAATTATATCAGTGTTCATATTTTTTTGATCAACTTTTTATTTATATAGAACAGTTTCTCAATAATATTGATTAAAAAAAATAAAAATAAAAATATATATGTCAAAAAAAATCAATAAAAGACCAATATTATCTCTCTCGACAAACTTAAAAATATTTTTCAAATAAACGTCCAATAAGATTTTTCGTTCGAAAACTTGTTTCCACAAACCGGTGAGCACAATTACACGCGAAAAAGATAATTAAACGAGCATTACTATTGGATGTCACAACAAGATCTCTCGCGCATGCTTCAACTACGAGATATACCACTCGATTCGTAAAGTGGTTTCGAGCATCCTTCGATATTAATCTTCGTCGATAGATCCTTCTAATTTAATATCAATTGCAGTGTCGATCAGAAGAAAATAATTTCTCGACAGAACAGCTTTTTCATAGAGAATTTGTATATAACTATAAGA